CACAGTCCTCCTTCCTCCACAATGTCTGTCACAGATAGTGGGAAAATCAGTTCTCGAAGAGACTTATAAAGGACTTGAAATCACTTCCTTGCAAGTATGTCACTTGACAAGTAAGCCTTAAAGTAAGATGACTTCTCTCATATTTCAGTTGTGAGCCTCTTCCTTTCTGTTGGTAAGGTCAGTAGGAAACTAGAATCTCATTGAAATGTGTGTGGAGAAGTTATGTTCCTAGGAGGTTTTTCTCATAGGGCAACTTCTCACAATATTAGACAGCCACAGAACTGCAATATTCAACTCAGCAGAGCTCATTCATCTCCAAGGACACGATAAGTTATTATAGTGTAAGTAGAAATGTGAATGATGTTTGCCTTTGGTTGTGTAAGGCTACTCTGGGCTAGCTTACAGAATTTGATCTACCTGACTTCATTCAATCTAAATATGGGGGTTAACTGTTATTTGATGATTCTGTTACTGGTCTGTACGTGTTTATGTTAAAGTGAAATGTTGTGATTACTGAGCTTCCGTAGTGAAAATAAAGATCAGAATCTCTTGTTAACTGAAGACTGCAAACCTCTTTAAAGTGTTTGGATACAGAATGCTTTCTTCTTGTAACAACCAACTTCAGAAAGAGCTTTCCACTACTTCAGGGGGAGGGCTGCTTACAGTCATGTTCCTAAATAGTCCAGAGGTTTAGAGCTAGCAAATAAGGAGTTTATATTTTTAAAAGGATACTTATTGAAATTCAAAGGGCTGCCTCATACAGGTTCAGCTAATGATGGTAATATATAAACATGCTAAGAACATATAGTTTCCTTATAGAATCTGCCAAGGTGTGGAAAATTTTTAGCATAGAAGAGAAGCATAGATTTTGGAAGAACTAAAGAACACAGTTTTAAATAGATTTAGATCCTGTCAGTCTCACTTCAGTGCTTGGTAAAATTATGGAGAAGATTACTCTGGGAGTTACTGAAAAGCACAATACAATCATTAATCAGGCAACATGTGTTGCCTGTTTATGAACTTTTTTTCCTTTTATGACAAGATTACCCACCAAATTGACCAAAGGAAGCAGTTGATACAATATTTTTGAATTTCAGCAAAGCTTTTGGCACTCTTTCTCACAATATCCTTCTGCATAAAATGTCCAACATGCAGCTAGACAAATGAAGATTGCAGTGGGTGAACAATTGGCTAATGGGTCAGGCTCAAAGGATTGTTTATAGTAGATGGAGGTACATCAGGCTGGTTGCTAGTCATTGGTGTGGAATGGTGTAGAGTTCCATTTTAGGGCCAGTTTTCTTCAACATTTTAATCAGTGAGCTGGCTGCAAGACTCAAAGGTGTATGTGAAAGCACACAAAGTGCGGTTGTGAATAACACTGTAGGGGAACTGCTGGATCATGGCCTGAACCTCTGATTGACCACCTGGATTGAGCACTGAGTCAGCTGTGAGAGCACAGGTGAAGGCAATTCACTTGTGTGATCAGAAGTGGTGGAGCCTGGCTCCACCTCTACTAGACCCCCGTTTATGGACTGACTGCCACTAAGGACAGGTCTCTCTTTCTGGATGTTGCTCCTTGTGGAGTTGATTGTAAGCCTACAAAACTGGTGAGCGCTTTCCATTTATTTTTTATTGTCTTTCTAACAGGATAATCTTACAAAACCTAACTTTTCTGTATGCTTATTGGTCATCCAATGCTTTATAATATTTATGATAAAGTATGCATACTGGTCTTACAAACACTGAAATAGAGGCAGCTATTTGTTGACTCCCTCAAAGGCAGAGAGGTCTTATAGAGAGATCTTGGTGTATTAGAGCAAACGCTGAATTCTGCATCTGGGATGGAGCAGCCCTTTATATATGTACAGACTAGGTGACAGAAGGCGGGAGATCAGCCCCCACAGAAAGGGATCTAGGGGTTCTGGTTAAAGACAAGTTGAATTTGAGTCAACACTGTGCCTTGGAGGCCAAAGGAGCCCAAGGGTGCACCAGACCCAGCACTGCTAGCCAGATGAGAGAAAGGATTGTCCCACTCTGCTTTGTACAGGTGTAGCCTCACTTTTGGCACTTTGTGCAGGTTTTGGCACTGGTGTGTGAGAAGAGCATGAAACTTAGCATCCAAAAGATAGCTACAAAGATAGTGAAGGGTATGGAGGGCAAGGCATATGCAGAGCGGCTGAGATCCCTTGGTTTTTTCAGCCTAGAGAAAAGGAGATGGAGGGGAGGTCTCATGGCAGCCTGTGGCTTCTTTACAAGGGGTGCAGAAGAGTAGTACTGAGCTCTGCTCTCTGGTGGCAGCACCAGGGCTTGAGTGAATGGCATGGAGCTGTGTCAGGGAAATGTTGGGCTGAGGATTATGGAAAGATTCTGCACCATGGAGCAGTGGGCATGGCATTGAGCTGCCAGAGTTTAAGGGGCGTTTGGATATCACTTTCAATTTTGGATTTGAAGCTTAGGTAGTAGGAACCCCTGTTGGTTCCTTCTAACTCAGGATATTCTATGATATATGGGTAAAGTAGCTTCCCTGATACTTGGGGAGTGGTGTGCAGAACTCTATTTTCCTCAAGTTTGATAAGTTCCCACCGTCACAGGAAAGAAAGGAAGGGAGAAAGAGGAAGGAAGGGTTTGTTGGAAAACAAAGAGATTTTAATGGGTGAATGGGAATTTTGAGCTAATAAGCAAGTATAATAATACGCAGCATGTCTGTTGACTCCTTTCTCATTCAGTTACAATCATCTAGGGAAGAATGCAGTTCTTTTAGATTAGCCAAATAACAGGAGAAAATTCCAGCAGTCTTCTATTAAAGCCGTGGGATACGTCTGAAGTTACTTTAAATTTTTTTTTCCTAAGAAATGTTTCTACTGTATGCTTTTTAATATGGAAATGACACTATGAGATAGAGAGATTACCAAAAAAGTAGTAAGATATTTTCTAGAATAGTCTTGAACTTTATTTGCATTATAATAAATGAAGCGTGCAGCATATACAAGTGGAAAACGTGCTAGAAGGATCACACTTGTTTTCCGGATTTTAGTTTTTGAGTTTAATATACTTAAGTATATTTTGGTCTTATCTACAAAGTCTCACATAGTACTTCTACTTGGAAGATTAATATGTTATGTGGTTTCTGCCAAAAGCATGGGATTGTTATTTATGTGGTGTTAAGTTTATTCTGACTTTCTTCGTCCAACCCAGTTCACATGTTCTTGAATTCAAATATCTTGTAAAGAAATGTAGGTTTTTATTCAATTACAATAAAAGGCAATCTTATGTGAGGTATGAGTCATTTCTGTGTAGGGATAGAAGTGATGTGATTTCTTAAACTTCTTTAATTGTGCTGGCTTTACCCCTGCAGGTTTTAATGTATTTTCTTCACAGAGACAAAACACCTAGGAACTTATCTTGCAATTTCAGCTAAAAGTTCATTCTGTATCTCGCTGTCTTTATATTCAGATCAGTCTTATTAATTCAAAGGCTTCTAGTTTGTGCAGGTTAATAAAATTCAAGAAAGGATCTTTCAAACTAATCTCAAGAGCAAATCAGAGTAAGAATCAGGCTAACTTATATGCAAAGGATGTTCTGAGAGGAAGCTTTACCTTATGTTGCTGATAATCAGATGCATATTGTCCTCCAGCTTATTACAGAGCAAATCTCAGCATTTTGCAGTTAGTGTTCTATAAAAAGAATATTACAAAATTTTATTATCTTGTTTTTACAAACAAAGCAATAAGAATACTTCAGCATGTCAGTGTCATCCTGCAAGATGTTGCTTTATTAGTGAGATAAGAGGTTATTGGGCTGCTGTGGAAATACAGAATAGACTAAATCTGTATTCCGCTTCAACATCTGCATATAAATTCATGTAGAAAAATAACATACAGAAATAGAGAAAATTCTCACCCTTATCCCACAGCTATTTAGACTCCATGATGCTAAACAAAATAAAACTTACTTCTTTCAGTCTTACCTGCCTGGGAGTTCTTGCAAGTCTTTTCTGTTTTATAATTTCAACAAGCTAATTTAATTACTTTGGCCAAATTCTTACACAAGAAAATTGGTAGTTTTCTTTCCTGTAAAGTGTCAACAAAAATAAACTTTGTGGGACATAAGCCAGAACTGGGATTCGTTTAAAAATGGCTCTTGATTATGTCTACAGGATGAGTGCAGAAAGCCCAGGATGCCTGTCCCTTAAGTTGCTTTGCCTCAACTCCTCTCCAGGATTATGGGCTATGCTTTTGCAGATCTACTGGTATAGTAGTACAGGAAAGCTTCTGGTCCAAAGCTCCAAACCAAAAAGGAGGTGGAGCACAATAAGGTTGTGACTGCTTGTCCTCAGGCATAAGCATGTAATTCATACCCAAAATGTGGGCATGAATTGAGATGTAATTTTGGGAAAGGGAACAGGGCAACTAGACCTCCACTCTAAGGGAATTTTCTAAAATCTCCCTAAAGAGAATTGAGGAGGCAACAGGGCATGCAGCTTGGTGAAGAGAAGTTAACCAAGACTGGGGAAATGTGAAAACAAGGCAAAGAAGCCATATGATGGCTAAGGTTTAGATGCCTTTGAGATGTGAAGTGAGATACAGAAGAAATAGTTTGAACTATTAATTCATTAGTACGTTGCAAGCTAACAGGAAAAGGCACAAATGCACATCTGAGCAGCTGAAAGAAAATCTGTTTAACATCCAGCATTAATCAAAGCCTGTGTGAAGATGCATAAAGAACAGGGAGTAAAATATATTCATCAGAGAAAAGACTTTATTTTACCAAGTCAGCAGGAAAACAGGATATTTAATATTATGTAGTGGCTACTCTGCACTTTAATGAAGGTAGCATATCTTTACTGGTATTCTTCTATATTTAAGAATGAAAAACTAGACTTGTTAAGCTTACAAGATATATAGGCTATTAATTTTTGTTTGTTTAATTATCCCCATCAGGGATATAATTTCAGTCAATGCATGAAAAAAATCAGTATTTGTGTTTTTTCTGCTGCACAGAACCTGAAGCGTGTGGCAGAGACATGGATGGATGAGTTTGCAGAGTACATCTACCAGCGACGGCCCGAGTACAGACATCTCTCGACTGGTGACATCTCTGCCCAGAAGGAACTTCGCAAGCACCTGAAATGTAAAGATTTCAAGTGGTTCATGGCTGCAGTGGCTTGGGATGTCCCCAAATATTACCCACCTGTGGAGCCTCCACCTGCTGCCTGGGGGGAGGTGAGGAATACAAATTAGAAGAAATTTAAATAAGCCTGACATTGTACATCACAGGAAATTAAAAGTATGAAATTATATTTAGCACCTTAGATAACTAGTGTTATTAAGGAGTTCATCCTGAAATTAGCTATTAAAACAAGGAACTGTCATGTCTTAGGGCTGTTGCTGTCCATTTTATAACTCATTACAATTTAGTGTGTACAGGCCATAAGATACATGCCCATTGAGAACAAGAACATGGAAAAGAATATATAGCACTTATTATTGCATATCACAACTTGATTTTAGAGTCTCATTAGCAAAAAGGAGGTCTGAAGTCAATACTGTATTTTTGCAAATCTGCTCATATGCCTCCTCCTAGGCTTACAGTTCACCAGGATCACTGTGCAGGTGCAGTTATGTTAGGTCTGTTTTGATCATATATGTGAATATGAAAAGTGGAGCCTTGCTGCATTTCTCTTAAAAAGACAAATTTTGCTGAACTTGTGGTCTGCATTTTGTAGATTCCACAAGCAGACAAATGGAATGCATCTTTTGGGGCAAAGGGAAGGGAAAGGAGAGGAAAGGGAAGCTAGCATCTGAGCATCCATTGAGCAGTGAGCAAACAAATAGCCTCATGGAACTCTCCAACCATACTCTAAGGTCTGCCTACAGACTTCTCTGAAGAGCAGAGACATGGCAAACCCTCTTTTGGCAGTTTGTTTTGTGTAGGTAAAATGAAAACACAAAGAGTGCAGGGGCAGGAAATGACTTCCATAGCTGTACTGGAAGTCTCAGTGGCCTTTTACTCCTAGAAGCTGCTGCTGATTCATTGCATCTTGAAGGTGATGCATATGCAGCTTTTTCCTCTTGATCTGTTAAGATTTATAAGAAGGACTTTCCTCCTGTATTTTGCTGCTGTTTAAACAGTGTAAGAATATCTGTGCTGAGTTCTTTCTCATTTTACTGGAGATGCTCAGTATAAGCCAGGCTTGATCAGAGTTGTCATTACTTCTATGTCCACTTTCATGGTCTTCCACATGCATACATGTGCATTCTTCAAGGACTGTGATCATGAGATCTATAACTTCTATAGACAGCCAAACAGTTCTTCTCTCAGTGACAGGATTTAAGTAGAAGAAATTGGGATTCAGATATTAATTCTGCTCACATCATTATTGATGCATTCCTTGCATAAAAGCATGAGTTCATGATAGTAAATTGTACATCATAGCAGTGGTAACTAATCTGTACCTTCAAAGTACTTACTGAGTTCTTAGTAAGGAAACGAAGACTGAAGGCTTTGTTTCCTCTCAAATATAGTTTCTCTCTGACGTAAAAGAGAAGTTCCAGTCCTACCACTCTATTTTTCCCTGGGACTATCACATTCCTGTGAAGCTTTAATTAATCTGTTGACTCTTGGTAAGAACTTAAACTTGGAGGTCAATGGCTGCCATAACTAGAAACAGTCAGAAACACAGACGTGTGTTACTGTTTTGTAAGAATCAAGCAGTTCTAGAAACCTTGCTGACTAAACACACTAGAAGTCTATGCCAAGGCTGACTGCCATTTAGTATTCTCTCTGCTTGTGCTTGGGAAGACTTTATATCAGTCTGAAGAAGAATAAACAAGACGTCTCAGGCATTCCTGTGCTCTAGTATTTTGATGCACAGATAGTAGAAGCTATGTGGTGTAAAGTCAGACATCTGGTAAACAACCTATGTGTAACTCCTCTCTTTCTGCAAACTCTCTTACTTAAAATCCGATACCTAAATCTCTCAAAACCTATTCACAACAGAGAAGAAGTAAATCTGAGAAAAAGAACTAGTTGTCTCCACTACCCTCAACACAACCTTATCTCTTGTTCTTGTTTGTGCCTTTTGTCCTTTGTAGTTGGCAGGGTGTATCTTTCATTTTATATTTTGCTCTGCCTTCTAACATCTGAAATATGTGCAGCATGGCAGTGCAATGATGAATCCAGACAGGTTAAGGTTAGTGATCATCAATTCTTTGGATAAGATTACTGTACTGTTTTCTCTCCCACCATGGGGAAAAACAAGGCAAATTTTAAATTAGATTTTGTTTCTTAAAAATATGTTGGAAAGTGTGCTACCAGCTGAAAAACAGTAATAACCATTCCATTCTCTTTCAAAGGTGCAATAATTTATTTGTAATGTGTATTGGAAATCCTGCTGAAGGAAGTTAAGAACAATAGCTGCATTAGGTGAGATTTGTACATTAAATGTTTTCTTAGGAAGTACTCCTAAATCTACAAGCCACTGCAAGTGTGTTGCACAGCTTCCAACAGTATCTTTGGAAACATATTTTACAGTAAATCAATCGTATACTGTCAGCCATTGTAATTTGTTTTAGACTTTACTAATCCTATTGTCAGGGTGATATGAAAAGATTGTTTTGTTTTACTGAGTCGAAAGGGAAATATTTAAGCTTGGTTTCATTTGTTGTTGCATAAACTTCTTATTTGATGATTTAATACAAAGCAAGTCAGTCACTGCAGCAGTTCAGTCACTGCAGCAGTTCTGAGCTATAGGACCTGAAAATACTCACTTTTTCAGTCCAGACCTCATGGATTTTATAGAATTGTTTTACAGCCATGGCTTGAAAATGTCATGCATGAAGTTAAATCAAATAGTATATTTGAAAAGGGTTTAAAATGTAAGAATGCACTAATCTCTGATTATTTTTGGTTTTAAAGTCTCACTTTCATAGTCTTAATGAGTCAGTACCAGTCCACCAAGTGTCACATGGGCATTGTACCAGCTATTCCCCCATCGCACACAGAACAAGTGCCACACAGCTGTGTTTCTCACAGTTCTTCTGTCAAGATCACTGTCATGCAGCACAGCTGAGTCCTACTTCTTCAGAGAGGTCTTTAGCAGTGCGTGACTTCTTTCAACTTCAGCTTTTCCTTTTTATGGCTCACACAAATGATAAATCCATTTAAAATTGCCATGTATCTGTTGGCAGGAAAGGTGGCTCATTTCTTCTCATTTGATCTGTAAACATTGATGGCCCTAGGGTTATCTGAGAATGTAAGCATGTACTAAAATCATCTTTAAGTGCTGCTCAGACAAATAAAGCAACTTAAATGGATGTTGTTAATGTCTTCCAAGAGCTGCAGATACTTTCTGATTTTCAGCATTGAGTCAGATACAAGAAAAGTGTTTATATGGGCTGATAACATCAAGGTTCCTCTCATGTTGTTGCATTGTACTGGGCACTGTGAGGATGGCCGCAGTTTCATCTCCTCCTTCATTATTTTAAGACAACTTTAGATTGCTCTGCTTCACCATTTTTGGTTTTGGTGCGTCTAGTTAGGGCACATTGAACACACAGCTGACCCTCATGCTACCAGGAGTGACTCAACCCCTGCCTTCCTCAAGGCTGAGGTGACGCAGGCTTACAGTGGGGCTGCAAGGCAGGCAGAGCGTCACCTGTACTCTCAAGGGCAAACCTTGCAGGAACTATTACATTCTTCAGTGTAAGAAGTCAGACCATCTTAATCTGCCTCTCTCATGGAGATGAAATCACGTAACTCCTGACTTTCTGCAAAACTCTAATGTCAATTTAGTGTAGGTCAAATGTTATGGTTTAATCTGGCTGGTGATTCAGCATGCATGCAGTCATTTGACATGCAGTCACTTGCTTGCTCTCCCCCCCCACTCCCAGTGAAATGGAGGAGAGAATCAAGAGGAAAAAAAAATATAGAACTCATGGGCTGAGATAAAACAATTTATTAAGATATAGAAAAGGATAACAGTTAGGACAATGTATATTTATATATGAATGTATATAGCAAGTTATGCATGAAGTGCAAGATGCAAGTCTATAGGAGTCAAAGCAAGAATGAGTTACCTGGGAGGTCTACAAAGAAGCTGGATAAAATCTAACCAGACATAAAGGAGAATGAGAAGAAATTATACAGATATAGCAGCAATAAAAAGAAGGCCAGGGAAGATGTGGGCTCTCTCCAGAAGGAGACTGGAGGCCTGGTCACAATGGATATGGAGAAAGCTGAGGTGCTCAATGATTTCTTTGCCTTGGCCTTCACTGGCAAGGGCTCTAGCCACACCACCCAAGCTACCGAATGCTAAGGTAAGAACTGGGAGAAGGAGGATGTGTCTGCTGTAAGTGAAGATCAGGTTCAAGACCGTCTAAAGAACCTGAAGCTGCACAAGTCCATGGGACCCAACAAGGTTCTTCCACGTGTTCTGAGGAAACTGGTGAATGAAGTTGCCAAGCTGCTATCCACCATATTTGTAAGGTCATGGCAATCTAGTGAAGTTCTCACTGACTGGAAAAGCGGAAGCATAATCCCCATTTTTCAAGAAGGGAAAAGAAGATGATCCAGGGACAGTGAGACAGGTCAGTCTCACTGCTGTGCCTGGCAAGATCGCACAGCAGATCTTCCTGAAGGCGTTACTAAAGCACATGAAAAATCAAATTGGGGTGATTAGTGGTTACCAACATAACTTCACCGGGGGCAAATTATGCCTAACAAACTTGGTGACCTTTTATGATGGAGTTACAGCATCAGTAGATAAAGGAAGAGCAACTGACATCACCTACCTAGACTTTTTTTTTTTTTTTTAAGTCATCCCACGTGATATCCTGATCACCAAATTGGAGAAAAATTGATTTGATGGATGGACCACTCACTGAATAAGGGATTGGCTGGATTGTCACACTCAGAGTTGCAGTCAATGGCTCTTTGTTCAAGTAGAGACTGGTGATGAGTGGCATTCCTTGGGGATAAGTGCCGAGACCAGTTCTGTCCTACGTCTTTGTAGGCAACATGGACAGTGTGATTGAGTGCAACCTCACAAGTTTGCAGATAAGACCAAGCTGAGTAGTGCACTTGTCTCGCAAGAGGGAAGATATGCTATCCAGAGGGACCTGGACAGGCTTGAGAGGTGGGCCCAGCCCATCCCAAGCACAAACACAGGCTGTGCAGAGAATGTCTTGAGAGCAACTCTGAGGAAAAGGATTTGAGGGCATCA